GCGCTAACACACAGCTGTTCTCTTATGGCTGGTAAAGTGCTAACACACAGCTGTTCTCTTATGGCTGGTAAAGTGCTAACACACAGCTGTTCTCTTATGGCTGGTAAAGTGCTATCACACAGCTGTTCTCTTATGACTGGTAAAGTGCTAACACACAGCTGTTCTCTTATGACTGGTAAAGTGCTAACACACAGCTGTTCTCTTATGACTGGTAAAGTGGTAACACAGCTGTTCTCTTATGACTGGTAAAGTGGTTACACAGCTGTTCTCTTATGACTGGTAAAGTGCTAATACACAGCTGTTCTCTTATGACTGGTAAAGTGCTAAGACACAGCTGTTCTCTTATGACTGGTAAAGTGCTAACACACAGCTGTTCTCTAATGACTGGTAAAGTGGTAACACAGCTGTTCTCTTATGACTGGTAAAGTGGTAACACAGCTGTTCTCTTATGACTGGTAAATTGCTAAGACACAGCTGTTCTCTTATGACTGGTAAAGTGGTTACACAGCTGTTCTCTTATGACTGGTAAAGTGGTAACACAGCTGTTCTCTTATGACTGGTAAAGTGGTTACACAGCTGTTCTCTTATGACTGGTAAAGTGGTAACACAGCTGTTCTCTTATGACTGGTAAAGTGGTTACACAGCTGTTTTCTTATGACTGGTAAAGTGGTAACACAGCTGTTCTCTTATGACTGGTAAAGTGGTTACACAGCTGTTCTCTTATGACTGGTAAAGTGGTAACACAGCTGTTCTTTTATGACTGGTAAAGTGGTTACACAGCTGTTCTCTTATGACTGGTAAAGTGGTAACACAGCTGTTCTCCTATGACTGAGAAAGTGGTAACACAGCTGTTCTCTTATGACTGGTAAAGTGGTAACACAGCTGTTCTCTTATGACTGGTAAAGTGGTTACACAGCTGTTCTGTTATGACTGATAAAGTGGTAACACAGCTGTTCTTTTATGACTGGTAAAGTGGTAACACAGCTGTTCTCCTATGACTGAGAAAGTGGTAACACATCTGGTTTCTTATGACTGAGAAAGAAGTAAAATAGCTGTTTAATATAAATTGGCTCCATTCATTTTCAGGTACATGACTCCCATTTTCTTTAATGAATCAATTGAGTAGTATTTTAAATGTTTAACTCTAATGGACTTAAAGTATATTGTTTCCTTCAGTGTTAAAAATTACTGCTTGCCAATATCTCAGTTTAATTATGGACTGAACACATGTCTTATTTTCTCTCTGTTTCACTTCTTAAATTTTTTTTAACAAACCCCTCCTCCCCCTTTCCCAACACATACACCTATATAGAAGGAATCAGATCTATGCACAAAATATTTATGTCTGAAAAATAATAATTCATTACATATGAGTGATGTCATTACACATGAGTGATGTCATTACATCATGAGTGATGTGCCCAACAAGCATGTTGTAAAAGTAGTTTAATAATTAGGGTGTTTCCTTCAAAGTCAGTGCATCTGTCTGAGGGGCGAGGAACCAACAGTCTGTTTACAGATAAGCCAGGATCTGTCTGAGGGGTAGGGAACCAACAGTGTGCTTACAGATAAGCCAGGATCTGTCTGAGGGGCGAGGAACCAACAGTCTGCTTACAGATAAGCCAGGATCTGTCTGAGGGGCGAGGAACCAACAGTTTGTTTACAGATAAGCCAGGATCTGTCTGAGGGGCGAGGAAGCAACAGTCTGCTTACAGATAAGCCAGGATCTGTCTGAGGGGCGAGGAAGCAACAGTCTGCTTACAGATAAGCCAGGATCTGTCTGAGGGGTAGGGAACCAACAGTGTGCTTACAGATAAGCCAGGATCTGTCTGAGGAGCGAGGAACCAACAGTCTGCTTACAGATAAGCCAGGATCTGCCTGAGGGGTGAGGAACCAACAGTCTGCTTACAGATAAGCCAGGATCTGTAAAACGTATGAGTACTCTAAACTCAAGTTCTGGAACAAGACTAAAGTCAAGAAGGGAAGGAACAGCCAGAACTTTCCACTGAAGTTCGCCGCTGGTGAAAGCAAAAAAGTAGAAGAAGAAGTAAGGTGGAATATTAGAACACTCTTACTAGTTAGGAAATTTGAAAATGTCAAACAAGAATAGACCCATTTCCCCTTAACTAAGCACGTTGTAAGAGTCGATTAATGTGGAGCTTCTTTTGAAGTCAGTGTGGCGGGTCCTGAAGTGGATAGGTGCTTTTGTGATGAGTAGGAGTTTACCTCTCAACACTTCACCTCCACCAGAGAAACTAGACTAATATCCGAGCTATGTTGATCTCAAAGTCCTGGATATCCAAGAAAACAGCCATATTTGGCTCGTCATGTAAATACACAACAGCTGCACTCGGTACCCACAGGAGTAGGAGAAGGGGTAGAAAGATATCAAGATGAACCCAATGAGATATCAAGATACACATTTAACCCCTCCGACTCTCTCCTCTCCTGTGACTAATAATTAAAGAGCTCCCACCAAATGTAATTATATCTAACAGTTTAGTTAAACAGGTAAGACTGAATACACTTGGAATTTAACAAACAATGTAGTATAAAACTTGACATAGAGCTTTATTTACTAACAATCATTTAAATGAAATTTACCAGTTTGTTATGTCTACAAAAACAGTGATTGGCTGATGGTATGATAGTGATGAGATGCTTCAGCTAGAAAACTGAGCATCTGGGATTAGAGTGGTGTGATGATGGTGATAAGTTTACTAACAATGTGTGGACGTAACTTTGTTATAAAACCTCTGACAGCTGTGAGGCACTGTCAAGCTTTTCCACCTCTTCCAGCTTCTTCCTAACTGGTTCCACCTCCTTCTCTGCCTGTTCCAGCTTATTCTCCGCCTGTTCCCAGCTTGCCGATCTCCCACAACGTAGGTTCGTGCATGTGACCATCTAGTTCTATCAGAGCAGACGCCTTTACCCCGACGGGAGCTGTGAAACAAACACATATGTGTAGTATCTATACTTACACTAAGCATGCATATACCAATACAGTAAATATATATATACATAACATCTCTACTCCTCATCTTCCACATTCTCTCCAGTCTAGTCTGAAGGTTTTATGTCTCACATTGACGTCACATATCCTGCCTTCCCTCTCATATACTGTCATGATAGTTGACTTCCTAAGTCTGCTGTCCGTCTTCACTCAGACTTCCAAACTGGCTGACATTGTTGTTTACATGAACATGTGGAGCAGGTTTTGTGCTGACAACTTAAACTATTTTATATGTGTCCGGAATATTGTATTTCCAATGACAGTGAGAACATGGTGAGCTATCAAAACTCAACCACATGGCTGCACATGTAGGCATGATTTTCCCACAGTCCAGGCACATGTTTTGGGTTGATAATTGAAACAAAATAATAAAATTTCATTATAGCAAATGTCATTGTTAACATCTTATTTTATACACAAGAAAACATACACTGAAAAACATGTGATACAAACATACAAGAAATAGGAATGATTTAGCAGTTCCCTATCTGAGAAAACTGAATACTCACAAAAAACTATTTCAAGCAGAATGTGTACAAAAATCAGGAAAGGAAGAATAGACTAAGCTAGTTCCTAACCTATGAATAAAGATTAAAAATAATATACACTCATACCTGGGAACGTTCCAGCAATTGCCAAACGAGACTCAACCAGCTAGAAATACTTCCTCTGTAGGTCTGAGTTTGTGGCTTGCTGGCAGCACTATGAGGTACATTTAAAATGCTAGCAGTATAAGTATCAATCTGTTGTCCAAATTTTACTCCTTCCCCTCTCTAGTATTTAACCTGTCCTACAGGAGAAGATCTAAGCCACACCCCAGAAGTACCTTGCAGATCAAAGTAGCTATCAAGGTGCCTGTCAGTCAATTCTTGAGGGCCACCACTCTGAGCAAACATTCTTAAGTGGTAAACATCTAGTCCCCAGACAGTGTCACTGACAGGTGTGAAAAGACAGGGTCAGTGAAGCTATTGTGTTTCCTACTTGACCAAGTTAATTACCCTTATCTTATCAGGTAAAAGGGCCGGTGTGTAACCTTTATGACACCAGGGACTGGTCTGCAGTTCAAGGAAGATAATCTCGGTGGAGATTATTAGTTTATGAGTTGCATGCCCCTAAGGGTCTTTGGTCAGGAGATAATTACATGACACTTCAGTCTACAATCAAACCCTACAGCCACAATGTCTGAATTTTCCCAGGTAGACCAGTGGGCTATATTAGGTAATGTTATGTAATATTAACCAAAGCTTAGTTGCTTTGTCTGGTCTAAGGACTGGTAGCAATTAAATCCCATGTGGTTTTTAGTAATTTCCGGGCTTAGGGCATAGTAAATATAATAATCTGTCTCTCTATAAACAGAAGAAATGATTACACTTACTAAGTTCTGAAAACACTGAGGTCGTTTCGTCACAGTCAGTGTGTATCTGCCCGAGTGGCAAGGAGCAGCCAACTGCGCACAAATAAGCCAGTAAAACTGATTTACATGAAAGTCAGGTCCTGGTACAAAGCCAAATTTAAGATGGACGAATAGCCATTACTTTCCACCAGAGCTTACAGCCGGTGAACAAAGACGAAGAAGTCTAGATATCTCTTTAGATTCCCTTACTATCTACTTACTCATCTTCCACTTGGTGACATTACTTCTAAACACTGTCAACTTATGAGACATACAGTGCAGTGGGCCCAAGAGGCTCCTGCTTAGAAATTGATTTTGAGAGAGCTGTACAAGTCAGAAACTGATACTGTACACTATCTGCCCAGTGTGAGAATACTGTTATTGTGTCTGCTGCTGTAATGCCATTCCTGTACTGTGTATACATTGACTGCCTCATTTAGTTAGCTTAGCAGAGGTCAGTTGGTCATCAGTGACCAAAATATTTCTGCATTGCTTTCATCTTTTACTAACATTTCTAAAGCATGATGATAAATAAAATGTGAACGTGTCAGTACACACATTGATATCTACTGTGGTCTTCTTTCTGTGTTTCAGACATTTGTGAATAATTCCCGTATACCTGAAGAAGAATATGTCACTCTGAATCACATGGACTCTGTACGACTTGGACAAGATATCCTTGAGTATTTTATTTGATGTGTCATTGTGGTTAATGTGCAGCTCCTGAAACTAGGCAGGAATCAGTCCGTAGAAGTGACAGGATATGGATGCCAAATCATTTCCAGTTTTTGGAAAATTCAGTGCAAAGGAAATGTGACAAGGAAGAGACTGGTCACCCTACCTCATTTTCAGATTAGGGTGACATATACTTGTGAATCTTACAACCTAATAGTGTCATGATCTTCACACCCACAAAAACATTTAATAGGCAGACCAGTAAAATGTTTGCAGATCATGACTGTAAACATCTTATGGATACTCACAATGTGACCCTTAAACAGTCTGTCTCAGTGTTAATTGTTCTGTCCACCGAGAGAAAATTGACATCTGTTACTGCCAGAAGATCTTGCTCAGGGGATAAAATCATTCACTGTCCATAGTAAAGCGCGTTCATACTTTTGACATTCAAGGTTATTTGTGGATCACTGTTTACTATAAATATCAGTTACCACAGTCTAGTAAATAAATAAATATGTAATACATTTGTTCATATTTACCCCTGCTGTCTTTCATTTGGTACTATCCTTATCTGCTGCCATTTTATATTTCTTTGTTGACAGTTGTTTATATGGCTGTCCATTGATTGGTAGAAACTTATGGTTGTTTTTGTATGAGTCTTTTCCCCTCCTTCTGCAAAGCTTTCTGGTCATAGTTTGTGCTGTTTCTAGTTACTTCTTGATATTGTTTGAAGGGGAAGAATAATAGACTAGGCTGATGTATTGAATGCTGTCAGAGAGCCAGGGTTACTAAAAAAAATTCAATGAGGATTGTGAATTGGCCACCTTGATTAAACTACAAGAACTGCAAGTCAAAAAGGATGAAACCAGATGAAAGTATTATGCAGGATGCCAGCGGAAAAAGTAAACAGAACAGAACTGATAAGTAGAAGATGACCTGAGCACCTATGAACTGTATGGTTTCTCTAGAGTTTGATCTTTTCTGTTGGATGTGTTGTTACCTCAAAACCTGCCCTGTGCATTCAAGTCACAGCATATTAGGATTTCACCCATGACATGCTCCAGCATTGCCTTGAGTCTCTGCCGTTTTTCTGCATTCATCTTGTCATTGCATGTATAGATGTTGACAAAAGCAGGCTGCCTGGTGCATTGGATGTGTAGAGCATGCATCTATGTGCAGTCATCATTACTAGTGCTTATGTCAATGTCTGTGGTATGAGGTCCTTCCTGACCAGAATTACTTGGCCTAAATGGGTTACAGGTACCTATATCCCCTAATCAGTCTCCTGTAGGGCCAGCACATCAGCTCCCCTTATCAATGTGTCTATCACCGGGCCTCTTTTATAAATGCTTCCACAGTTCCAGTACATCATCTGTAAGTATTTTGTAGACATAGAGCAGAAAACAGTTCACACATGGATAGTGATAGACTCATTGAGCACGCTTAAGAAGATCCAAACTGGCAAACTCTGATTAGAATGCGTTGACAGCATCCAGACGTCCTGCTGTACACACCGGGATGTGCCAGGATGAAAGAGCTGACAGACTGACCTTGTCTGCAACAGTTAGTGAAGAAAGAAGTGTGGACATACTGAATGTACTGCATTCCAAAGATGCTGAGACAGTGGAGAAATGAACCACCTGTTGGACGTATGTATTAAAGCAGGACAAGCATGCAGAAACTGGTTGAAGGGTAGAGAAAAAAGATATGCCAGTCAACTGCTACTGGGGACTTTGAGCATGGAAAAACTGAGATGGCTGCTGTGTCGGAGAACGATGTAGGAGTGGGCCATACTGATGTTCTAGGATATCGATACGGACAACAACTAACCAGAACTGAATGATTCTTTGAGCACTGACGATGATATGGACTAATTTATTAAATGTGACATTGACAGGACGGAGGCTGCATCAGACAGATGTATCAGTGACAGCAGTGAGCTTTATCAGCTTTTATTTTTTTTTGGACAAGAAGACACTTAAACCAATTCTTCTTCATTTTAATAGCTCTGACCACAGAGGTAAAGATGATATTTCTGTCACAGCATTAAAATCTTGCTCTGGCGATCATACTAAGCGCCTTGCTTTGGAAAATCGCCTCATCCACAGCTTAGGCGTTCTTAGTCCAGGTGGTATCAATATCCAACATACCTTCATCTAAATAGTTCTACTCTTATAACATTTTAAATGTTAATTATTTTCTTTTATTTCATATTAATACTTTATTCTATTTCTTATCAGTATCATTTATGTATCATTAACATTTGTATTTCTTTTATTCCCAGTATTATATTATATATTAACAATACTACTGTTTATTATTTTTTTGTGGCTATGTTTTTTAGCCATCGTTTATTTTATTTCATTGATTCCACATCACATTTTTTAAACGTCGCTCACGTCACCCCTTAGAGATCTACATACTCTCCTCTCCTCGTTTGTGTAGTCCACTTGTGTTTGAAAAAGGCTGCCTGGTCGAAACGTTACGTTGTGTTGTTTTGTTCACGTTTTACTGCTTCCCCATTTTGTTGAGCTTTGTTAGTCAATTTTTCTGGAATTCCTTAGATATTATCAGACATGGTAATGGCAGCTTATAGACTGTATCAGACTTGTCAGTGACGGGAGTTAGATATTATCAGACATGGTAATGGTGGCTGATAGACTGTATCAGACTTGTCTGTGGCAGGAGTTAGATATTATCAGACATGGTAATGGCAGCTGATAGACTGTATCAGACTTGTCTGTGGCAGGAGTTCGATATTATCAGACATGGTAATGGTTCCTGATAGACTGAATCAGACTTGTCTGTGGCAGGAGTTAGATATTATCAGACATGGTAATGGTGGCTGATAGACTGTATCAGACTTGTCTGTGGCAGGAGTTAGATATTATCAGACATGGTAATGGCAGCTGATAGACTGTATCAGACTTGTCTGTGGCAGGAGTTAGATATTATCAGACATGGTAATGGCAGCTGATAGACTGTATCAGACTTGTCTGTGGCAGGAGTTAGATATTATCAGACATGGTAATGGTGGCTGATAGACTGTATCAGACTTGTCTGTGGCAGGAGTTAGATATTATCAGACATGGTAATGGCAGCTGATAGACTGTATCAGACTTGTCTGTGGCAGGAGTTAGATATTATCAGACATGGTAATGGTGGTTGATAGACTGTATCAGACTTGTCTGTGGCAGGAGTTAGATATTATCAGACATGGTAATGGTAGCTGATAGACTGTATCAGACTTGTCTGTGGCAGGAGTTAGATACTATCAGACATGGTAATGGGAGCTGATAGACTGTATCAGACTTGTCTGTGGCAGGAGTTAGATACTATCAGACATGGTAATGGTAGCTGATAGACTGTATCAGACTTGTCTGTGGCAGGAGTTAGATATTATCAGACATGGTAATGGTGGCTGATAGACTGTATCAGACGTCTGTGGCAGGAGTTTGATATTATCAGACATGGTAATGGTAGCTGATAGACTGTATCAGACTTGTATGTTGCAGGAGTTCGATATTATCAGACATGGTAATGGTTCCTGATAGACTGAATCAGACTTGTCTGTGGCAGGAGCTAGATATTATCAGACATGGTAATGGTAGCTGATAGACTGTATCAGACTTGTATGTTGCAGGAGTTCGATATTATCAGACATGGTAATGGGAGCTGATAGACTGTATCAGACTTGTCTGTGGCAGGAGTTAGATATTATCAGACATGGTAATGGTAGCTGATAGACTGGATGAGGCTTGTATGTAGGCCAATATATATCTACTCTTGGGTAGCCCACTCATAAATTGTGACCTTAATTCTTATTTCGTTGTTTTCACCTTAAACCAAATGTTTTCTGATTATTGTTGTTTACCTTAACAAATGGTCACATGCCATGATGTACCATATAGAACAAGCTAGCCAGTTACACCTGCACAGAGAACAGCTCCCAGATTCTCACTACATTCCATCCTGGGCCAGCCAGAAACTGGCCCCCATCAGGACACACATGCATGCTACAAGTCTGGCACAGTGTCAGGTAGGTTATTTGATGGTTTCACTTTCTGGCATTAAACACGATAGCTACAAGTCTGGCACAGTGTCAGGTAGGTTATTTGATGGTTTCACTGTCTGGCATCAAACACACTAGCTACAAGTCTGGCACAGTGTCAGGTAGGTTATTTGATGGTTTCACTTTTTGTCATCAAACACTACTAGGCTAAAGTTTTATCTGGATATTGTTAGTTGACTTTTTTGCATGGAAGACTAAACATTATTAGTTGACTGTTTTTTAAATACATTGTCAGTTGATTCTGTTGAGTGGGGAACTAGTGAACGACTTAAACGATTAAAAAAATTTTATACTATTCTTTGCTTCCCCTGAGGATCTCCGTGACATGCCTGGTACAGTGCAGTGGTACTATTCTTTGCTTCCCCTGAGGATCTCCGTGACATGCCTGGTACAGTGCAGTGATACTATTCTTTGCTTCCCTTGAGGATCTCCGTGACATGCCTGGTACAGTGCAGTGGTACTATTCTTTGCTTCCCTTGAGGATCTCCATGACATGCCTGGTACAGTGCAGTGATACTATTCTTTGCTTCCCTTGAGGATCTCCGTGACATGCCTGGTACAGTGCAGTGGTACTATTCTTCGCTTTCCCTGTGAGTCTCGGTGGCAAGTTTGATACCCTGCAGCATTAGTCTATGTCCACTCAGCTGTTTTTGTTTTGTTTTGGTATGGCTATTTCTTTAATCATTTGTTATTGGTTTCTAGCGAAGGTCAAAAGGTCTACGGAAGTCAAAGGTTAATCGTGTGTATATTATTCTTGAGACTGTTTTCTGTTCGTCTTGTGCATTGTGTGTCTGACACACACATTAATTACTGACAGGATAAGCTAAAATTACTTGTATGCTTCTTAATACCACACCAGAAAATAGATCTTGTATAAAATAAATTGTAAACAATAAAATTATTGCTATCATGTTTTTATGTTATCATTGCATTTACTATCATTGCTGTCTAGCTGTTTGTGATAAACTCATTTACTATCATTGCTGTCTAGCTGTTTGTGATAAACTCATTTATTTTCCTTGGAGCTGCATTGCATTGGATTGTATGGATGGTTCCCCAAAATGGTATGATTTTGTTCCTCCTGCTGCCGTAGATGAATATTTTTATTAATGCTTTTAATATTGCAGCGTTTCAGTGTTTTTTTAATGCTGTTGTATTGACTACAGTTTTGGCTTACAGTAGCAGTATTTTTGTTATAAATTGCATGATGATCAGTATTGATGATGATACATCATCACAGGTGTTGCACTGTCAGCATTACTTGTTACGTCTGTAATTCCAGTAATCACTTATGGATCTGACTCAGATTTGTTTTCATGGTTGATATTAGTCGGTGAAATCTGGATAAATTACTTTTAAACTCCAGTAAATGCACAGGTTTCCTCTCCCCAGAGGTAAAATAAAACCAGACATGCACACTATGTAAATTGTACATCACCGTTAGCATTTAGAACCATCTTCATGAAATATTGAATCATTGGTAGGGTTTGAACCAGTTCACACTTGTTGACTGCTCCATCACATCTACCAACATTGATGGCAGTCAAGTATATACTGGAGCAGTCAGGCCAGTCATGGAATATGCCTCCACTGCATGGGCTGCAGCAGCCAAGACAACAATGGGAAAACTGGACAAGGTTCAGAATATGGGATTAAGGATTGTTCTCGGAGCCATGAAAACCACCCCCATCAGAGAAATAGAAAAGATAGCAGATACTGAACCACTCGAACTCAGAAGACAATACAAAACTCTTTTACAGTATGAGAAATTAAAAAGACTTCAAAGTCACCCACTGCATTTTAAATTTCAAGAGAGAACAAAAAACAGACTGAAGCGTCAGAGCCCCAACCACCTTGCTAGAGAACTGTACAGACAGCACCAAGATCTGCTTGAAAGAGATGTTGCACTGTGCGAAAAACTTAGGCCAGAACAATGGACAAGCAAGCCAGAGAAAGCAAATATAGTCCTAAAGGTACCAGGAATCACTTCAAAAGATGCCCAGACGGAGACACAACAGAGAACCCTAGCTCTTGCTATGCATGATGAGAAGTATCCAAACACCACTTGGACTCAGGTTTTCACCGACGGCTCTGCTACAGATGCAGTCAGAAAGGGTGGTTGTGGAATTTACATTAAACCCCCTAGCAGTAGAGCAGAAACTCTCTCTCTACCAGCAGGTGACATCTGCACTAACTTCAGAGCTGAGGCAACTGCCCTCCTCTCTGCAGTCCAACATCTCATCACTCAAGAACACAGAGGGCACCAAATTGTTATACTTAGCGACTCATTGTCTGTTCTCCAAGCACTATCCAGCAAAAAACAAGACAAAATAATTGCTGATCTAAGGACCAACATTGGCTTACTCTCCAAGGAAGCAGAACTGGTCTTGCAGTGGATACCAGCCCACTGTGGTATTCAAGGAAATGAGAGAGCAGATGAGTTGGCAAAAGCTGGGAGTAATCTTCTACAACCTCATCCACCACACAGCTACAAGGAAACCAAAACAGCGCTAAAGCAGTCTTTCAAGCGGGAGTGGAGAAGGCAGAATGGAGATTACAGACCAGAGAGTGACAGCATAAACAAACTCAAGAGGAAAGAACAAACATCAATTCTTAGACTTCGGACTGGACACTGTGGTCTTCGAGCACACTTGTACAGGATAGGCATAAAAGAATCTGCTGCCTGTGATTGTGGAGCAGAAAGACAAACCCCTGAACACATACTGCAGTACTGCCCTTACCTCTCCCAGCAAAGACTGTGGATCTGGCCCAAAGGAGCCACATTGCAAGAGAAGCTATGGGGGACCGGTGGCGACCTTAAACGCACAATCCTATTTGTGACCCAGACGGGACTCAATGTTTAGCATGACTGATATCGAACGCAGAAGAAGAAGAAGAAGAAGAAGATGGCAGTCACAGGTTCAGTATAAGTAAGAAGAAACTCCACAGGGGAGCATGTACATCAGGAGTCCACCAATCATCAGTTGAAGTGATCCCTCATCCACAATTGTTTTGGCCCACGAGCTCCTAGACAATTTCAGAGGGTGGGCCCACCTGAATTCATGAAGCTCAGGCTTGATCTGCTCCTGCTGCACGTATTACCGGATGTTCTCGGACAGAAACAAGACGAAATTGGTGACCATGCAGCAGGTTCTGTGAGATTTGAAGTTTATTTATAGTCACTGTGGTAGCCTTTTAGAACAGCCGGCATACTTTAATGACCAAGTGGCAATCTTACGGTTGGTTTATCGGACACATGTTAGACTTTGTTGGCAAATGGCAGAAGGACACTGGCAGACTATTCGGACACGATGGATTTTCAGGGATAAGACTTCTTTTCGACTAGATACCCGGACCAGCCTACCGAGGGCCATCCCCCATGATGTTCCGTTGTGCCCAAACCCAGCTCGAGGCTCTCTCAGCAGCCTCGCCCAGTTGTTTTAGTGCTCATTTTCTCTCAAGCCCAATTGCTTTAACACATTGTACATAGAAGTAGAAAAGAGACCTCTTGCGCGTACCTCGACGGCAAAGATTCTGTGTACGCTTCGTCTCTCCTCAGATCAACTGCTAGGTCACTATATTTCTTGAACTTATATATATGACTTTCGTCCATTCGCGACTCATACGGCAGGGTCAGCTCAATCTGGATGAGCTGTCGTTTCTCTGCAGAGTGTAGGACTATGTTGGGTCGCAGGCCGGTCTTCCAGATTAACTGTGGGTACTTTTCGTGACCAGGCAGGTCAACCGCCAGTAACCAGTCACTCGCACAGTCAAGCATTGATGGAGAGTATGCAACTTTGTTGAATATACCTTTATAAGTAAAATGTGGTCTCTACTAGTCAAATCAAAACACCCAAGTGTTTCTTAGGAACCTATATTTAAGTCATAATGCTCACTCACTATAACACACACACACAAAAATGGGGAAGATGTTACAGAAATATGTTTACCTAATGTCTGCTAATGGTTGGAGCCATCTGATAGGGCACATCAGACGTCCTTCAACACTTGAAAATCATAAAATTAGGGCATACATGGTTATTGCCCTGACCAAATGTCCAAATGGGAAATCCTGCATGCATAGAATGTGTGGGTTCTGATGTTGTGACATTAGGATCCTCATAAAATGATATGTCTACTGTAACAGGAAATGCCTAGGTAATGAATGTATTTCTTGACTTCTTGTGTGGTTTATTATTAAAGGGCAAGCCTTTAAATTTATGCTGCTTTGAGTAATGTGTATGTGCATTTGTATTCTATAGAATTTTGTCATTAACACTGAAATTTTTTTCTATTTGTCTACATCATAAAAGTAACCACATTTCAGATTGCACATCAGTTGTATTGTATAAAAAAAGTAGATGTTAAGGACCATTTTCTTGCCATAGGTGCCAGTGATTTTAGTCTTACATTTTTGTCCACCAATCAGCACCTGATAAAAAAGTAAAGTAAAGTAAACATCCCTTTTCATGCCTTCAGGTGCATTGGGTATATGGGAGGAGTAACCCATATTTTTTACAGACCAATCGGCACAAGGTGGATAATGTGGTCAGCATTATGCCAGCCGTCTTTACTTCCCCAGGACATACATCCTGGTACCCATTTTAGGCTTGGTCAACCTGCGACGCCCTATACTATGATAAAATTACACCTAGCCAGCAATGGGTTTCGATCGCGGAACGTTGGAATTACGAGTCTGTCAAGGACCTTGTATCTATACTACTTTACTACAGCTCATTGTACGGCCCTGTGACAGACACACTATACCAGAACACACTTAAAACACACACCTATTGAGTACACACATAATCTTTAATGCACAAAGAGACTTTCAACCTAAAGCAACCTCAACAGTTATGGACAGTCCCAAATCCGAAACGCCAGCATTGGCAGCATTTATATTTACTTATCCACCCCGAGCCATTCCCATGGATGTACCAGAAGACACGATTCCACCTCCTGTAGTG